TTAAAGTCCTGGATAAAATTATCTTTTTTGAAAGGATTTTAGACCGAGTTAGTCCTAGCAGTTAAGCTTTGTTTATTCCTGGAAGAAAGGTGTAACTGCAGATTTAAATTGTTGTGGTTTGTCACTCCAATTCTTGGTGTTGGGATTTAAGAGAGCCATTTTAGAGACATAGTGAATCCTTGACCTGGACCTACATAGAGATAGCTTCTCAATAAAGGTAGCCTCTATAGATAGTCCTTAATTCATGATCACAGTTGGGCTGGAACTTCTGTCACTAAGTGATGCAGACATGAAGTGAGTTGCATGTGATTTAACAACCTTTTTTGCTTCAGTTGTTAAGTGACTCACAGGGCCATTAAGTCAATTTGACTTCTTCCATTGACTTTGTTGGGAATTCCTGGGAAGGTAGCAAATGGCGATAATGTGACCCCAGGACTCTACAACTGTTGTAAATGTATGCCAGTTACCAAGCACCTGAATTTTGATAACCTGAGAACAGGAGTGCTGTGATGCTTGTAAGCATGCTTACTGGTTGTAAGTCACTTTCTTCACTGCTGTCATAACGTCAAACACCAAGGCTATGTATCTGTATGAGTGTAAATTTAGACAGATTTAGACACACAACCAAGTCCTGGATTTGCAAGGTACCAATTCAGAGCACTTCGAACAGGATTCATTTTTAGTACCGTGTTTCTCCAACAATACGCACCCCCAGTAGGAAGACCCAGCATGTTTTCTAGGCATAAGGAGATATTAAGCCCCTCCCCCCAAATTTAGGCCTAGTTTAAAACATGTGAAATTGGGGGGGACGAGGGGAACTTGCCATTAGGAGCACCCCGCGGGCAGCCACGCCTTGCCACCAGCCGCTCCTAATGGCCAATCATGGCAGATTGCGGAGAGCTCCCTACCCCCACCAAGCACCTTTGCTGCAGACCCAGATATGGTGCTGGGTGCAGGCCGGGTCAGCGGGTGGACGGTGGCGGTGTGGATGTCGGCCTCGGTGGCAGTGGGGCACTTTACATCGCACCTGCCACTGTTGCTTCCTCCGCCGCTGTTGCTTTCCCTTCTGCCCATGCGCTGCCGCGTTTGGAGTGCTGCACATTCCTCCAGTGGCAGTGTTTCAGCTGCTTCTCGGGCGGGGAAGCCATAGCTTCCACGGTTCCCCCTGGCGCTGGCGCCTCTCTCACCAGTGCTGTCTCCAACAACAGGATCAGCAGTGAGACGAGAACCGCCTGCCCTCCCGCAGGGGCATCGCTTTGATTGATGGCAGCTGCGTCGACAAGGTCCTGAGAGTCGGTGAGTCTTTTCGGGTTGGGTGGGTGGAAGTGGTGGAGGGAGGGTGATGCGATCCTTTTTCTCCCCCCCACACACCTCACTTTGCTTCCCGTCCCAGAGCTTCAGGTCATGGTCTTGTCCCTTGTACGGTCAGGCGATCCACCCCAAAGGAGGATTCATCAGAGGATCCACCGCAAAGGAGGATTCACCCTTTTAAATGCACTCCCCTCCTTTGGGGTGAATCCTCTGATGAATCCTCCTTTGGGGTGAATCCTCTGATGAATCCTCCTTTGGGGGGAATCCTCTGATGAATCCTCCTTTGGGGGGAATCCTCTGATGAATCCTCCTTTGGGGTTCTCCCAAAGGATCCACCCCAAAGAAGGTTTCATCAGAGGATTCACCCCAAAGGGGGGGAGTGCATTTAAGGGGGTGAATCCTCCTTTGGGGGGAATCCTCTGATGAATCCTCCTTTGGGGTGGATCCTTTGGGAGAACCCCAATGAATCGCCCAACCGTACAAGGGACGAGACCATGACCCGAAGCTCTGGGGCAGGAAGCAAAGAGAGGCATGGGGAGGGGAGAGAACCGATTGCATCACCCTCCCTCCGTCACTTCCACCCACCCAACCCCGAAAGACTGCGGGAGGGCAGGCGGTTCTCGTCGGCAGCGAGGTCTGTCTCACCACAGATCCTGTTGTTGGAGACGGCACTGGTGAGAGAGGCGCCAGTGCCAGCGGGAACCGTGGAAGCTATGGCTTCCCCGCCCGAGAAGCAGCTGAAACACTGCTGCTGGAAGAATGTGCAGCACTCCAAACATGGCAGCGCACGGGCAGAAGGGAAAGCAACAGCGGCGGAGGAAACAATAGTGGCAGGCGTGATGCAAAGTGCCCCACTGCCACTGAGGCTGACATCCACGACGTCAACGACGCACGCCCGCTGACCCGGCTTGCACCCAGCACCATACCCAGGTCTGCAGCAAAGGCGCTTGGGGGTAGGGAGCTCTCCACGCTCCGCCATGATCAGCCATTAGCAGCGGCTGGTGGTGAGGCATGGCTGCCCACGGGGAGCTCTAGGCGAGGGTGGGGGGGCAGAAATTAAGTCACCCCCGAAAAGACAGCTAAGCCATTTTTTCGGGCATCAAAAAAAAATAAGGCCCGGCCTTATTTTCTGAAAAACACGATATATTGGCCCTTTCTTCAGCCCATCTGAAGAGTGATCCAATACTTACGTCTGCAGTGGTGGTATGCTGCCAGTTCACACTGGTTCTAGCGATCCAGTAGCGCTGGTCAGAAGTTGGTGCCAACCACCCACCCTCCCCCACCCTTTCCTGTCCTATATTTCCTTCGTTTGTAGCTCAGCTGATAGGCATGACAGAGCGGACTGCCGTGTCTCAGCTGTTTTACTCACCAGTGCTGACGGTAAGTTTTCATGCTTAAAATTGCCCATTTTAGAACGCTCCCCCGCGCGCGTGCACGAAGCGCCCACAGAACCGGTAGTAAAATACTGCTCATCTGAATTTTAGAACAAAAAGAAAGAAAGAAAGCTGGTTATAGTTTGCATGCCAGTGGTACCCAGCCCCAACTAATACTTTTACTCCTAGTGTGCAGGAAGATTACCTTCCCTGTGTGCGCCTGCGAGAAAATGCCAAGAACCCTGGACAGGGGCGGGCAGGGAGGAATCAGTTTTTTAAATGTCAGAAGATCCTATTGTGTACACTAGATCAAATTTCAAACCATATACAGTATATGATAATCTACTGAGGTATTTCAGGGTAATAATGATTCATATAAGGAAAGAATCTTGAACCAGATCTTGGATTATAGTTTTTTTATTCATGAATCTGGAGGTGCAGTATCCCCTCAGATAAGTGCTCATCTTTCAAATGCAAAATGGGAACATTCCTCAGCTTCCCAGGTATTTGACATAATCTGCATAGGGCTTTTGAGCTTCTGTTGATCTGTTGAATTTGGGAAGTGTATGCACGCTCCGTCTTTCTGGAAATTAGTATTCCAATTTTTATTTTTTTTTGCTTCTTGATTTTTCAGATTCTCACAAAAAATGGTTAGAAGGAGTTGCAAAGCATCATAACTATGTGTATGCTACCGTCAGTGTGTGAAATTAGGGATTTTATGGAATGCCTAGGAAATATATAGAATGCCAAAAATGAGACTTCAAAGTATGACACGCTTAATATTTCACACATTTCCTAGTCATACTACGCAATGGCAAAAGGCAAACTGGCAAAGTAAAAAAATATTTCTGCTTAAAATTCCATTCTAGCCTTCCTTCTTGCAACAAGTAGGTCAATACTAGTCTTTTTCTCTTATTTTGTTTTTCAATAAGAAAATCCTGTACTTTATTTTGTCTTTCATTTTCATATATGTCTTTTCAATAAAGAGTTAGGGCTTGCTAACTTAACCCTAACCCCAGCCCCTTTCATGAGTTCATTGGGTTCTCCTTTCATATTTTGCCAAAGTAGTTCTTATCATTCTGCATAATGCCTAGGTATTATATACAATGCCTAGTGAAAGTATATAGCATATTATAATAACACAGACATTTCATATTTTCCTAAAAACGTCACTCATTCTGTAGATTTCCTAGGCATTCAGCACAATGGCAGTTTTTCACGTATTGCTGGTAAGCATATACAATTCCTGGCTCCATTATGAAACTTTTTAATTTGTCCACAAAGCATAATAGGAATTTATTCCTGCAAACAGAAAACCTTTACTAATCATCATAGTAGTAAAAATAAAATTCATTTATGAAAAAAGCACCTTTAGAAATCACCTCTTCGTGCAAGTCCGTATAAATGCCGTACAGAAGAAAACATATATTACCAAGCAGCAAATATAGTGCTGACATTGGAAGAATGTCTGTAGCAATTGTCAGACCGTCCAACACTTGAGAAAGCCAAATAAAAAGAAGCTTTGAATTGAAATTGTACCAGAGCAATTCAGAAGCCTTTGAAAAAAATATAACCTTACAGCAATTCATATAAAAGACTTGTTTGCATTTTGCATGCAAAGTTGTTTAGTGGTTCCTCCTTTGGGAAATGGTTTGCATTTTAGCCATCTGAACTGATTTTCAAGCTGAAGCATTGACTATTAGAGCCTATCCGGGAGCAACCTCGAAGGAAGAGAAACTATGCAATCCATTTGTGAAAAATCACAAAAATGCATATATCGTAATGTTTATAATTGGAACTTTACTGAACAGTTCAAAGAGCTGTAGGATAGGTAGTTCCCCTCCCCCAATTACTTTTATTCTTTTATTTTCCAAGCAGCAATTTTCTTTGTCTTTCCACCTATGAATCCACATGCTCCAAGTTCTTTGCTGTGGGAGTGTATTTTATGTAGGCTTCCCATAAAACCTAGCTATTGCTCTTGGATGAGAATCTTGGACTACTCCGGCCTTTGGAGCAATCCAGCATAATTCTTCTTTTAATTTACATGAATGAACCCTAAGATAATATATGTATATATTTATGGAGTGCCTTCATCATATGTGATCGTGTACAAATCAGGACAGTTTTTGTTGTTATAAAGCAGTTAAAACTGCAACGTTCTGGATGTTTAAGAGGAAACCAGTGCTATTTTTCTTTGAAAATAGCCCCAATCTATTTCATAGTCAGTCTGTATTTCTCTTTGTTTAATAGCCTGTGGCATAAATTGAAGTTAATTATCAGAGCTGACAAGTAACTCTGTTTTCTGTCTGCTCTCAGAATCTCTCCGAGGCAAAGATGGAGCTGAGAAGAAAAGATCAATCTTTGCGTCAGCTCAATAGACATCTTACCCAGCTGGAGCAGGACAAGCGTCGGCTGGAACAGAACATCCATGATGCAGAGAATGCCCTCCGCATGGCAGCCAAGTGAGCGCGGGGGGCCTTGGGGAGATCACTTGAAACAGACAAAAGATCAATTCTTACTTTCATGCAAAGGATTTTTAGTCCTGGATAATGCAGCACTGGAAAACAAAAAGTACAGCTGCCCATCTTTGAAATGGTAGTAAAAAATCCTCTTGAAGAGAAACATATTAATGGCCCTTTTCAATCATTTCAATGTCCGCGGATGAAGTGTGAGCAACAGAAGCATGAATGTGTCTTGAGTTTTGCCCCTAAGGTGTACCTGGGTTGAGCGAACCATCTGACCAAAGGTCAAAGTGGTTTTGATGGGAAGAGACGTTAGTATATGATGGTATATATGATAGTTGAACAGTACAGCACATGTATCAAAATACTCAGTGCCTACAAGTACCCATTGACCCTGAGGTTTTAACAGTGCACAAGTATAGTCATTGGTGCATCTCTTGACTAAAAGCTCAGAATTGGTAAGTAATAAATGCATAGAAAAGGCAAGTAGCCCATCACCCTTCTAGAGTAATCAAAACAACATATAACAGAAGATATACCTAGCACAGCTTTCATACATGACAAAACCTGCAACTTTTCAGCTGCCTTTACACAGACAAAATAGCTATTTAGAAACATTCCTTGTGGCAAGCTTTTCTTCAGATTTAAACGGGTAAGAAGACAGTGCAAATAAAAACTGCATGAAATAATCATCATTAGCCCATGATTTTGAAACATAGACCATATAGAAAACTAGGTATTATATAGATGTAATCATATACTAGCATCCAGAAGATGCTACACAGTTTCTGTGATGACCCGGGGCATGGCACAAAGGCAACACAGTCAGATAATAAGAGTCCCTTTATTATTTCCAACTTTGCCCCCAATGTCCAGGTTACCTTCTGGCTGGAGAAAAACTCTCCCAGGAACAGCCTTTGACTTCAGAAAATTAAGTCCAAAACATGGTCAACACAAACTGTAACTTAAAGTCCAAACAAGCCAAACTGAAGTAGTTAGTTTGGCAGGGCAGGAGGAACTTGAAGACACGCAAAACTCACATGGTTGGGAAGACACCAGAAACACAGATAAGCCGCGACAACACAGGATAAAGTCACGTTTACTTCCAACTGCCTGCCGCACACAGCCTGCCTTTCTTATCAACTGTCTTCCCAGCTGTGGCTAATGAAGGGAATCAGGGCCCTTTCCTTCCCCGTAAGCCACGCAACCCACATTGCTCTCCTCTCCATTCCTCCCTGCATGCCCTAGAATAAAGAGGGAGGTGGGCCTGGTTCTTTCTTTGAACTCCCTCTCCCTTGTTCTAACTCTTCCCTGCTCTGCCCAGCCGGATTTTGCCCTTCCCCAGCCTCCTCCCCAGCCAATGGAGCCACACTCCCATTCCCGGTGAGCTGTCTGGCTTCCTCCTTGGATTCAGACTCTGACAGGGGCATGACAGTTTCCAGAGACTTTCAAATTTGTATTCCGCCAAATAGCCTATATTTGAAGTTAGAAAGGTTTCTTATCTGGACAAAGCGGATCGTTTTGATCTAGATGTTCCCGTGTTGCTCTAGTTCTTTCAGAGGTGCCAACAGGGATGGGATCCAACGGGTGTAATAACCGGCTCGGTGAGCACGCAATTTGCGTGCCGTGCACAATGTTTGAAAATCATCTTTTCCTGCAAGCCCTATGTGTACCACAGTGCTTGCACAGCAATCAGCTGTGCCACACGAGGCATCTGAGTTTGAAAAAGCAAGAAATAAAGGACAGCCTCGAGCCCGGGCAGGCGGGTGGGCCAAACAGAAGAACAGAAGATCATTGGAGCAAACCGGTTTGGTCTCAGCTGATCTTCGGAGCTACCAGTTCAGGAGAACCAGGCCAAACCTGTAGCACCACACCTCTGTGTGTCTGGGTGCCAAGAAAATTGAGGTTATACAGCCACTTCATCTATCTGACAGAGTTTTTTTCTTACGTATTTAACTCACGGATTGGGATGATAAAACAAGAGCATTTTTTATTCCTCAAAAATTCTTATTGATTTATATTTTTAGAGAATTCTAGAATTTTTCAACCATAAGAAACATTTTCTGAATTTCTGGAACCATATGCAAAAATTCAGTAACAAAACTTAGAGAGTCATCCCTTCCAGTGCTATCTCTGATACCCTTTATAAACTAAATCTGACATTAGTCAACTGTATACAAGAAACATGGAGTTGACTCTAAAGCAGCAGAAAAAGAATGGAAAGTATTGCTTGTGCTAGTTACTTTATAGTTAACTCAGCTAAACATTTTTGTATATGACACTGAAATTACCTGAAGACAACAAATTTTGGGACAAAGGAAATGATGAATGTCACATATAAACATGTTTTCTGCTCTTCAGCTTCCTGTTCAAAGAACTACCATACAATTAAAAATTAAATTTATAATGGAAACGATGATAGCTAACTAACAAAAACATTTATTATAAAAATAGACTGCAATACAAGAGTAAAAGCAACAAAATAGAACTTTAAAAGTAAAACAGCAATAAGAACATGATCTTTTTATTCATTCAACAGAGACAAAGAATTAATTGTTAGTCATATGAAATCAGTGGAATCTATCTTTCAAAATGTAAGTAATATTTTTTGATAACACTTCATCTATAGCTGTATTTCAAGCAATTGTACTTTGATATTGCTTTTTTTGCTAGAAAATGCTAATGGAACTTGAGAAATATAATTATAAAATAATAAACAGTCAAAATATACAGAAAAATTCTCACTGTCATATACTAGCAATCAGGTCTGTTTTTACAATTAAAGATTTAGAAAATACATTCTAAATTTTTGTGGTAACACTCACTGTTATACTGTACAAAAAAATCTAAATAATAGTATGCATTAATATTTTAGTCAGTTACTTTTCTGGCCTGATTTTCCAGATTGCTTGCACGTGTGTGCGTCTCTTTCTCTTTGTGTGTGTGTGTGTGTGTGTGAGAGAGAGAGAGAGAGAGAGAGAGAGAGAGAGAAGGAGGGAGAGAGAGAGAGACTTTATATTTCATTTATGTTTCATTTTTTTAAAAACCATCACAGTGCAGATTTTGTATGCTTTGGTAAATCTTTTAAATATTTCCAGCCATATTAAAAACAAAAATGAAGAAAGGAATGGAATGGAACAGAATGCAAGGGAATTAAATAATACAAATGTCACACTCATAGATTTTTATTTATATATAGAAAAACACTGACCTAGTAAAGTTAGCAAAAGCAAAAGAATGAACTAATCTAATCTGCAGCAATAGCTGATGCCGATATTTTGACCATGTTGCTTCTTCTGTCTCACAAACACTGTCACACATAAACACAAAGATGAAAAATAAGAGCATACAACAGATATTTTCCAAATGGTTGTTCTTTAAATGACTCCATCCTTTTAAGTTAAATAAATTGGATCAAATACAAAGGCATGTGATGTTGAGAATGGCAACAGTAACGTATCTCTGCTGTCAGTTTCATCATATCACCGGTGGAAATGAGCAAATTACTTTCAGTCTTTAGTGTTCAGAAGAGAATTTGTGGTTTTTTCCAATACAGGAGCACGCATTTATACCTATGCTCATGTGCACACACAAAGGGATATGATGTAATACCCCCCCCCCCATCTCACACAGATTGTAGTGGAAGGCCTTAGGGGCCTCACCTTGAGGGAGCCAGAGTAGCCAATCTACCATGTCCCTGTGCACGAGTGCATTGGCATATGCTCTGTTATTTGTTGTAATATTTACATGTGATAAATTCTGTATCACATGTAAATGAAAAGCCAAAAGAGAACATTAAGAAGGCATACTTCAGAAATAATCTCAGACCAATTCTTTAATTATTTGCCCTCTAAGATGAGCTGTGCTAGAATTTGGGGAGCTCAAATAACTATTTAAAATGTCTTAGTCCACTTAGCAGAGTCTTACAATGCTTATTTTAACGCAGTGGCTTATATTTTCGAGTGAAATGAACATTAATCTATTTTGCCAAACTATTCAGTTGAGGATGAGTTTCTCATTCTCTTTGGATTTGGTGACCTTTCTTTCTCTTCCCCGATTCTAATCTAGCCTTCAGTTTACCTCTCTCTGAATTCTGAGTACCCAACCAAATAATCATGCTGGCTATGGATTCTGGGAACTGACGTTCCACTAGTTTGGAGGTTACTAGGTTGAGTTATATTGTTGAAAGCCGTCATGCAGTTTCTTCTCTACAGCTTAGGTCATTGCTGATGCATCCTGTCTGTCTGTGTCTATTTCTGTATCTCTAAATTCCTATATCTGCCTGTCTGTCTGCCTACCCACCCCAATAACAACAGCAACCCTGTGAGGTAAGTTGGGCTGAGAGAGACAGAGAGCGACTGGTCCAAGGCAACCCAGCTGGCTTTCATGGCTAAGGCAGGACTTGAACTCACAGACTTTCTGTAATAATAAATACATATAATAAACACATATAAACAATAGAGTGTCATTGAAACTTCTAGTGTACCGTCTAAAAACAAAGCCTAAATCAACCTAACGTTCTCAAGAAGACTGTTTATTTTTTTCACTCTCATCCCTTTTTTCATTCTACCCAAGCAATTTCCTTTTCAAACATAGGACAGCAAGCAAATTTCAATTCTCTCCTGAAGAAAGGTGTTCCAAATTTCTGATATTGAGATTTGCCTCAATATCAGAGGTTTGTTTGAGAATGTATGATAGATTTCAGACATTTTTTTCTTCACGGTAGTTAAAGGTGTGATTAATTTGAAAGGAAATTTTATCAAAGCCAGGGGTGGGCTGTTGGGGATTCACAGGGATTTGGCAGATCCTCTAGCTAAGATTCTTCACAGTTTGGACAACCCCCCCAAATGCCACTCCTGGCTGGCCTCGCCCACCCAGCAGGTAAGTGCAGGGCACGTGCAGAGGCTCGGGGAGGGTGAAAAATGGGCCTCCCAGAAGTTCAGGAAGGCCAGAAACGGGTCCGTTTACGGTTTCCAGAGAGCCTCTGGAGCCCGGGGAGGCCGTTTTTGCCCTCCCAGAGGCTCCAGGAAAGCCTCCAGAGCCCGGGCATGGCAAAAACACCCCCCCCCCCGCTGTGGTGCAGGAGACAGACTAGGCCGAGCCCACCATGGCCACGCCCACCCAACAATCAGGCAGAGAACCTATTGCTAAAATTTTTGAAGCCCACCCCTAATCAAAACCAATAAACCAAAGGTCTTCAAACTTGGCAAGACTTCAACTCCCAAAATTCCTGAGCTAATATGACTGTGGAGGGATTCTGGGAGTTGAAGTCCACAAGTCTTAAAGCTGTCAAGTTTGAAGACCCCTGCAATAAACCTACTCAAAAGTAAATGTGCGTCATCTTACAAAAGTTGATTAGTATTCAACAAGTAACTGGATGGATGGAAGAACAGCAGTAGTCTTTTAAATTTAACTAGTACAGGTAGTCCTCGACTTAGAACAGTTTATTTAAAGACCGTTCAAAGTTAGAACAGCACTGAAAAAAGTGATTTATGACCATTGTTCACAGTTACAACTTTTGCAGCAACCCCATGATCATGTGATCAAAATTCAGATGCTTGGCAACTGGTTCATACTTATGACCATTGCAGTGTCCTGGGTTCATATGATTACTTTTTCCAACTTCCTAACAAGCAAAGTCAATGGGGAAGCCAGATTCACTTAACAACCAGGTTATTAACTTATCAAATGCAATAATTCACTAAACAACTGTTGCAAGAAATGTCATAAAATGGGGCAAACCCCACTTAACAAATTCTCAACAACATAAATTTTTGGGTCGGAAGTTGAGGACTGTATGTATGTGATTTGTACCAACTCTTAGTGGTTTTATGTCCCGTAAAGCAAACTGAGATTTTGTATCAGTTCTCACAGTTGACGTAATTTGGAATATCTGCTGAAAGTAACATCTGTTTGGCTCAGGTCATTTTTCCTAACATAAAACCTCATAGTGTATCACTAGGAGAAGTATGGAAAATAAAGTGGAAGTATGCGTTGGATTTTATATTTGTTGGGAAACACCTTATTTACGCATGTAAAGGGGGGGAAATAGATTCATGAACAGTGATCCCCACATTACACTTGATCTAGTTCAGGGGTGTCAAACTCACGCTGTCACGGCGGCATCACATGACGTATCGGGACATTTTTTCCTCTTCGCTAAACCGGGCGTGGGCATGACCAGCACGTGATGCATCTGGCCCACGGGCTGGGAGTTTGACAGCCCTGATCTAGTTTCCCAAAGATAATTTTTATTTGTCCATCTTTGAAAAAGTTACTTGCCACAGTCTGAAATCAGGAGGCACCGCCCACTCATAAATTAAAACACAGAGAAGAATACGACACTTGCGTTTGTCTTTTGTAGTGAAGTCTTATATCAAGAGGGCGGTTTTGTTTTTTCATCTGAAGAACCAGGTATAACAACTCATTTAAAAACCCAAGATTCCTGCTCTCTAGCAGAGAATCTTCCGAGAATTCTCCTGATTTTCATACCACATAATTCAGGCTTGTTTATTGTAATGCCTTCATCATAAAGGTCAGCACCAATTGTAGCTGTATCAACCAAAATGTTGCTTGGTGCTACTTCTGATGCTCAGTATGGAGGCACTGTTGTGTTATTTTAGTATTCATTTTGTGCCACTTGTATCTTTAGTGGTGTATTGAACCTTGAAGCAGTGTTGAGAACTTGAATTATCCATAGTGAATACAGATAGATCAGAACATCCAAATCAATACAATTTTTAAGTGAATTAAAATGTTTAAATATAAGGGCCAGGGAACTTTATTTGGGATTATGCACAGATGTGCTTATTTTTATTCACTGTTTATTGGTATAGCATGCTAGCTTAATGCCTTTGTAATTAGGTATTCCTCTTATTGTGCCTTACTTTTTTTTAGAGTTATGACCTTGTTTTTACTTGGGCTGGAAATACAAATGCAGTGTTCAAACAGCCTTGGCAGGAGAGTGACAGATTTTGGAGGCTGTTCTTAGGCGATTGAACCTATTCTTGGCTTTGCCTACCAACTTGCCACCTGCCACAAGTGAAAGGAGGCCAGGAGGTACAGGAAAACAGGAAAACACCAAACATTTCCCAACATTTTGAAAGCATATTTTGTCGTTAATTCTTAAGATTATCCCAATGAGGGGGGGGACATTTATATCGCTTGTTTTATCTTCATAGGCTCATGCTGCTTGCATTGAGAGATTCTTTTCTGCCCCTTCCTTTGAATAATCCCATTTGCTGTTTAGGGAGCTATTTTGCAAATACTTTAAGCATCTTCTTTGTTTAGATCCCCAGCAACCTGATTTTCTTGATCTGTGTTCCCAAGGATCAATTGTGCAGGACATACAGGTGTTAGCACAGCTGGCTTGCTGATGACATCTCTGTCCAGATAGCTGCCTAGTGTGTCATCACTCATAGCGTTCAGTGTCATTCTGACCTAGCCAAGCTAAAAATGGCACTCTAGCTCAAGAGGGATTTGAAAACCTTGACAAACTAAAGATAAAGATATTGCAGAATGTCATATCCATGTGTTTTAACTGTTTTAACTGGGACATATCTAAGTAACTAATGCCAGAGCTTGTCTGGTTTAT